ATCACAGTGTAAGAGCAGAAGAAGATGTTTTCTTTCTTGGTGTATTAAGGCTCCATTTCCATTGCTGTCATATTCATAAAAACTCTCGATGATGTGTGGTCCAGTATCTTCATTCAATTGCTGGATGAGAATTTTTTTTGCAGCAAACATCTTGTGTTTCTTCCTAAACCAGGGCTCACGGAAGAGAGAACTCCACCCCTTGCACACATAGTTGAAGCGACACAGGTCCTTGCAGGAGAGTCTCACCAATATTTCCTCCACCGAATCGAACGGAGGACCAATCGCGTCCACCGCTTCAGAGGGAGTACCAATATCGTCCACTGCTTCGGACGGAGGAACAATCTCGTCCACCGCTTCAGATGGAGAACCAATCTCATCCACCGCTGCAGAAGGACCAATCTCATATCGATACAAATCGGTATATATCTCTCGGTGGATAATCCGATGATCTGAAAATCGATCCAAATTACTATGCATCATCCGTTAGATGATCTGTAACTTAGAAGTCAATTCGAATTGATAGCCATCGCCAAATGGTCAAATATTTGAGCCAAATAACCATCCATACACGATGAGCTCGTTGATTGTTAATTGATCATATTATTAACTTCATAACTTCCATAAAACATGTCTAAAAAATTCTTTCTTTGTATCTTTAGAAAGCTTTTTCTAATAACTACGCATAGACACTATAATTGCGTAGATCTAATATATGAGCACAATGTTATGAGCATATTTACCCAACACATGGACTGAATCCCTACATATCGATAAAGATCGATATATATCTCTCGGTGGATAATCCGATGATCTGAAAACTAACCCAAATTACTATGCATTATCCGGTATATGATCTGATAACTCACAAGTCAACTCGAATTGCTAGCCATCGCCATATGGTCAACAATTCGAGGCAAATAACCAGCCATGCCCGAAGAGTTGGTCGATTGTTGACTTATCATATTATTAACTTCATAACTTCCAGAAAACATGTCAAAATAAACCTTTCTTTATATCATTAGAAATCTTTTTCTAATAGCTACGCATAGACACCATGATCGCGCAGATCTAACATATGTGCAGAAAGTTATGAGCATATTTAGACAACACTATGATCGAGTCCCTACTTATCGACAAAAATCGGCATCCATCACTCGATGGATAAATTGATAATCTTACAACAGACCCAAATTACTACCTGTCGTGCGATAGGTGATCTGATAATTCAGAATTCGAGTCAAATCGCTAGCCATCGCCATATGGTCAACAATTTGAGCCAAATAACCATCCATGTCCGATGGGCTGGTCTATTGTTGACCAATCATATTATTAACTTCATACCTTCCACAAAACGTGCCCAAAACTTTTTTCTCTATATCATTAGAAAGTTTTTTCTTATAGATACCATGATCGCGTAGATCTGTATATGGCAAAAAGTTATGAGCATATTTAGACAACACATTGACCGAATGACTACATATCGACAAAAATCAGCATCCATCTCTCGATGGATAAATTGATAATCTTAAAATCGACCCAAATTACTATGCATCGTGCGATACATGATCTGATGATTTAGAATTCGAGTTGAACTATCTCCATACGGTCAACAATTCGTTCCAAATAATGGGTCATGCCCGATGAACTGGTCGATTATTGACTGATCACATTATTAACTTCGTAACTTCCATAAAACGTGTCCAAAAAATTATTTCTTTGTATCATTAGAAAGCTTTTTCTAATAACTACGCATAGACACCATAATCGTACAGATCTAATATATGAGCAAAAAGTTATGTGCATATTTTGACAACACATGGACTGAATCCCTACATATCAATAAAAATCGGTATCTATCTCTCGGTGGATAAACCGATGATCTGAAAATCGATCCAAATTACTATGCATCATCCGGTAGATGATCTGATAACTCAGAAGTCAACTCGAATTGCTAGCCATCGCCATATGGTCAACAATTCGACGAAAATAACCAGCCATGCTCGATGAGTTGGTCGATTGTTGGCTTATCATATTATAAACTTCATACCTTCCACAAAACGTGTCCAAAAAATTCTTTCTTTATATCATTAGAAAGCTTTTTCTTATACCTACGCATAGATACCATGATCGCGTAGATCTGTATATGACAAAAAGTTATGAGCATATTTAGACAACACATTGGCCGAGTGGCTACATATCGACACTACAAGAAAAACTGTAATTTGCGATAGAAAAATCTGTCGCAACATGAAGAAGAATCTGTCGGTAAAAAAAATTTGCGACAGATTACGACCGATGATTATCGGTCGCTAAATCGTTGTCGCAAAATCTGTGTGGTCGTGATTCTGTCGTAACTTTGCGACAGACAGATCTGTAGGTAGTCGGTCGCACATATACGACAGATGGCTATATGTCGGTAATCTGTCGCAAATCGGTGAATCCAGATCTGTCGCATATTGCGACAAAAATAGGAGTAGGTATTCGGTCGCAACATAACGACAACATAAATCAGTCGCACTCTGTCGCAACATAACGACCAAATATATCGGTAGGTATTCGGTCGCAACATTACGACAAAATTAATCGGTCGCACTCTGTCGCAAATCTATTATATAATTTTTTTAAAAAAATATTAATAAATAATAATATTTTGAAGGCACCAAAACACGTTTAGAGTGCATCCAAATACATTTTGAGTGCATCCAAATACATTTTGAGAGTGCGTCAAAACATACTTATAGTGCATCCAATGTGAGTTTTAGAGTATGAAGTGAGGACGAAAATGAAGAGAGAATGAAGAGAATTTTGTGCTTAGCACAGAGGATTCTTCTTATTCATAATGTGAGAGGTTACACATATTTATAGGACAGCTTAGAGACAAAGTATTAAATGCACTAGCTGTTACATGTGTGCATGACAAGCATTTAATGAGGTGCTGTCTTCAATACTTGATTTGTATGATAAAGAGGTGCTGCATGATATCTTCACATTAATGCACCAAGATGGTTAGCTCATGCATTTATTTCGCAGGTTCCTTGTTGTGCAGGTCATCTGATGATGATCCGCCATCTATGTTGTCTTCAACGTCTTTAACATTCCC